TTCTTTCCAGAAATCATTTGGATTCTTTTTCTGCAGTTTCCTCGCAAGTGAGTCCGACCTCATTGTGTTCTCATTCCTCTTTATAAAACGTAGGGCATATTTAAAACGTGCATTTGCTTGTTTCTTATATTCAAATAAGGGACCATGTTTATGTCTACCTGACTCAGCCCAAGCGTTAAAAGCCCTTCTAGCCTCCGCATGAAACTCTTCAACATATTCATTCCAACCTGGCTTGGCTTTATACATCTTGGTCTTGTATAGAGGCCTGCTTGACACCAGAAGGGACTCCACAATATTATCATACAAGGAAAACAACTCAATACCATGTTGTTGGTTCTTACAGTTAATATCACAACACGCAACCGCATCTTTTGGTAAGTCAATATTACTTAACAACACATCAGACTGACCACAATATACTTCAAGATCCTCCTCTGACAGTTTAGACCAGTCTATTTTCCCAACACTTATATCGTTATTCACGGACAAAAGAGTAGGTAAATTGCCCTGATTTATAGCTAAAGAAAAGGGCACATGATCAGTAGTGGCAAATTCATAATTAATCCTCATAGTCTCTATAGAATCATGTGTCCCGGATGAACGGATACTCTATCCTGATCGTTTTCAATACTCACAATTCCAACTCCTGACTCGCTACAGTGGTTTTGACGAAACAAGATGGCTTTTATACTGCCATGGACATGGTAGCTCGTACCAAGGGCGTGGTAAGCTGAAACCTGCTTAGGTCAGCTCTCACCGCTACCGTCACGAACTACCGCAAACATCCAATAGGAAAATTCAACTGCAGTAGCCACCGTTCAACCTGAAGAGGGCAGCACTCAGACGTTTTCACACCATATATTGTAGAATTAAAACACTTATACCAAAAATGTCAAAAAAGTTACTCGAATCAATGAACAGCACTAATAAAGCCCCAGTCTTACAGATCATTAATTAAAAAAAGTTGGTTTAGTTACCCTTTAAAATGGAAACTACAAACACAAGGGTTTTTCAGATTTTCCAGTGCAGTGTTGTCTTCATGTTTCCTATACTTTGCTGCCATTGGCCTCTGCCTACAACGCGGTGGATCCTTCACTAGAAAACCAGTCGACACCATTGTGAGTGTGACTAAAAGTTTGATAAGTAGGATTTCCTACTCCTTCAAGGTATATGCTTATCCAATAGGAGCAGACTGGGAGTGGCCTTGGGCGGCAACATACCCAGTGCATTATGGGTGTTGAAGTGTTCATACCTATTTTGCCAAAGGAAAGACAACACATCCTTTTCTCCGTTTTCTCTAGTCAGATTGTAACGATAAAAAAAAAAAAACACCTTTCTATCGCATAAGCAGCCAAGTTTTATTGAAAATGCTGTTTTTCCAGCAAATAATTGCCTGTTTAATAAGTAATAATACCAATTGCTCATTAATCCAATTTAATCACAAACATTAATATTTGCAGAGATTATGACAGAGCAAGTAAGGTAGGATCTGGAGCTACTTTACCAGTTCACATGTGCGTGGAAGCAGACAATATAAGTGCAAAAACGGGAATATGTTTTCTGATTTGATGATCGTTTCATCTTGATCATTAACCTTTTAACCAATTAGTGTGACGTCTTGAGTGGAGCTTGTCAGCCGTTGATAACTTTCTTTGTATAAGTAACTCAGTATGGAGATGTTTTCTTCATGCATTGTGTCTGTTGTATGCCCTGAAGAAGGCCCTCAAGCCGAAATGCGTTGGCAATTTTTAGAATTTATTATGACAGACCAAAGCTTTAAGTAGACATTACAAAGAGGGACTTTAGAATTCAGCATATTGTTTTATTTGCATATCACTAATCTACAGTACACAGCACTGCATTTTGCACACAGGATGCATTCTTATATTCTGTCTGCAATGCATTTTAATTGCTTTCTTGCTAGTCTATATGCAGACATCTTTGGCATGTGAGTTTAAAAGGCATGTTAAAAACGTGACCTCTGCGTTCTGTTCTAATTCCATTTCACTAGCGAACTCATGAGACTGTCATGGATAGTTTATAGCCTTATGACTGAAGGTTCCAGGGCACCTACCCTCCTCTTATTGCCCCATACATAGATTTTGTGAGTAAAAAAGAATGCAAAAGAGATCTTATACCTTATGATTGTAATCTCAAAACTAGGGCTGGGCGATATGGAGCAAAAAATATATCTCGATATATTTTGCTAAATCTCGATATTCGATATATATCTCGATATCTTTACAGGAAAATGGATGTGAATACAACTCAAAATATAGGCCTACAATCAATAGAAAATTAATTTTCCATAACAGAATGTAACCAAATGAGAAAAATGAAACACAGGGCCTGAATTTCGTCATCATTATCACGTGATTCATATACAGAAACTGAATAAAGTAATCAAATGGAAAATAACACTGAGTAGTATTTTAGTCCTGAATAAATTAAATACATAGGTTATTAATCCTGCTTCCTTTAACTTAAAGCTATCTTTTGTTGTATTGACAACAAAATGAATGACACACATATGGCTGCCGTCACTTTAAGAGCTAGTGCACGGATCCTGTGTTCATTATACTGGCATGCGTTTTATGCTTATTAAAGACAAAACCGACTATGTTTAGAGTATACTCACGACGACCGAAATTGACAATTGTGCGTGTTAAAGCAATATAATCCGCGAAAAATAACTTTTGTTACTGGCCAGCTGTTCTTAAGGCGGATTTTCTATGAATGTGCGCATAGAAAATAATCTCTCAGAGAGCGCGCGAGCACTGATTAGTTTAAAATCGCTTGAATGTTTAAACGGGTAAGACTTAAAAAGACGTGCAAATGGTAAACTTCAGTCACGATGCACTGCTGGCCCGATTGTGCGAGTGAATATCCATCATGTCCCGACTCCTAAACGCGAGTGTGTATGATCGCCGCAGCTCTTGATGCTTGCCTTGCACAACACATTATGAGAGACGAGAAAGAAGCGGCACCGCTGAACACTCACGCTGTTTGTGAAATTGCGTCTGGCAGATAGTTCTTAAAAGAATGATTTGATTTTATAATCTGTGTGGATTACGATTGCGGGAATTTCCCGCATTATAAATGGGAGACCTGCGGGAATGATTAGAATTATGCGCAATACCCGCGCCGAAATTCGAGCCCTGGAATAGTTTAAAACAAGACGTTTGTAGTAGCCTTCTGATTACTGGAGTCCATTAATCGAACTTCCATGCCTCTTATATAGTAATTATATATTGTAGTATGTAGGCTACCAATTTACTAATGCAATTAATGCTCACACTCGGTTTCTCTCGTGCTCTGTCGCTCGCGCGCAGACACACTCGGAGTTCTGTAGCCTCCGGGCTGGTTGCGGATGAGACAATTGTTGAATGAGACAACACGCGAGGTGAGGGGGAACAAAAGCAAGGAGGCGGGGGCGAGCACAGCACAGAGAAGGCAAACAAGCAAAGTGGCGAAATCAGGATTAAATATAAACAATATATCGATATATACGATATGTCAAAATCCATATCGTGTTTAAAAAATATCTCGATATATTTTAAATATCGAGATATCGCCCACCCCTACTCAAAACCTGAATTTCAACTTTATTTTACAATTGTAAATTAAGTGGTTAATTAAAATCTATGTAGGTCTGCAGTGCCTTAAATGTGAAGAAAAAAAAAAATCCAAACAATACACACATTTACACAAATATGGTCACAATTACAAAAAATGAATCTAACTGCATCACTAACAAAATGCGTTCAGAAGCCACATTTGTGCAGAGGAAGTGCCTTGGACAAATAACATTTATCATTTTGTCAGTGCAGTTACTGGCACACATTCAATGCACCGTTTGTCTATCATTATCAGTTTTACTTTCGCAGTACTTTTTCTTTGGTTGTCAGGTTACTACAGGGCTCACTTCTCCAGGCCCCTGGCAGTCATCGGCCCCGGGGCATTGGCCCCATTAATCCAGCCAAAATGCATTTTTGGTACTATGTATGGCAAAATGTAACAACATAGCAGCTTGGCATTAATTTTAAATGTGCGGTCACTGGTATTTGTTGCATTTATCGTGGTTTTACAGTGCTACAATCAATTGAACTCTCACTTTAAATTGACTTTAAATAGGATCTGTAGGCTTTAGTGAAAAAGCTGCCTAAATGTAATGCCTTTGTCCAGCAATGTCAACATGTTTAATTGGTTGTAATGCTTGTCCTAAGAACATTTTCAATGCCTCTTCGTTCACATGGGTGTTAAATGAGTGTTTAGGGGGGATGGATGGAACGTTGCCATTTGGCAGATAGAAGCAAGTGTAAATATAATGTCGTTTCCTCCCATCTGTTTGCTTAATGGCCTCTGTGGGGTTAGAGATGTTTAGATTGTTTGACTCTGCTTAGTGTTAAGCTCATTCACTCGTTGCAAACGACCGACACATTTTCACCTTAAAACTATTCCCATCAAATCTGATCAAAGGTAAATCTTTCACATACAATATGATTCAGTGGTTAATCACCAAGAAAATGTTCACAATCAATCCAGAAGAGTCCTTTGTTTCCATTTTAATGGATTTTTGCTTTGAAAATGTGCACTCCGTGTGAATATGCTCACGCTCGTCCATAATGACAGTGAACAGCGACCTTCTTCATGCGTTTATGATGTTCATTAAAGCGTGCGTAAGAGCAACAGTAGGCCATCACTCCGGTTGAGAAATCAGAATTAAGAAAAATGTGCTTAATACTAAATTAAATTTTAAGTTTGCCCTCAAAACACTTGGAATTTCTTGCATGATGAGACTGGGCGCAGGTCATTGCCATTATATGGACGAGTGCAAACAGGACTTTTTTTATGTGTGTTACATTTCTCCATTTGTAGTCCGAATGAATTTTAATGTTTGGATGATTAAATATCTCTTTAACTCTTATAATAGACAGTTATGACTTTGTCAGTTGTAAATGATTTCTTAACCAATGATTTTCTGTGTCCCTCTCTTTCAGACTGGCAAATAGCGACGCTGATATTGTTGTTAGCCGGGGCATCTGTGACATTAGTGGCATTTCTTATCGCACTGATCTCTTTGTGTAAAGGCACACACAGAAGGCACTATCGTATGGTTGCAGTGTTCCTCTTCTCAGCAGGTAAGACTCACATTAACATCTTGCTGGAAAACAATGACTTTGGTCACAAGCCTTTAGCAGGAGAATTCTGGGAATGTGACCCTTGACCTCTAATCCCACGTTGACACCTGGCATAACATCCAATGAGCAAGTGGATAGTGCTAAGCACAAGCAGAACACAAAACATTTATTGTGTAAATGCCATTGGGTCCTGATGGTCACACCTGAGGTTATTAAATAGCTTTAGTCAGAAATTTCCTCAGCTTGTTTGTCTCTCTCGTGCCCACACACCAGAGGTGAGAGCAGTTCACACGAGTAAGTCTCAAGTCCCTGCCATCAAGTCTCGAGTCCAGTCTAAATCCGCAGTGCATACACATTAAGCATATCAAGTCAGTGGCTCAAACCAAGCAAGTCAAGTCGAGTCACAGTACCAAATAACAGAAACATGTATATAACCAATGAAAAGTATTAAAAAGAGCATGTGACTGAACCTTGTTACTGCATTGGCTCCTCAAATTGTCGGTCAGACCTCATAACTCCACGCACCTCTATCGTGAATGAAGTGCCGCACTCATTTTGTAGCGTCTCTGCTAGTTTGCAATGCAATAGTAAATGAACTGTTTCTTTGAATAAGTACAGAATTTTCTTTATTTAAGAAACCCCATATGTATATATATATATATACATAGGCTAATGTTGTATGTTTTTGAGGAGAAGAGTGTCTTTATTTAGCATTTGTTTAGCCAATACTGTCTTAAATAGCCAATGCAAAGCACTTCATCATTAATAACATGAAATTTTGGCTAAATGACAGAAAAAACTGAGTGCCCACATAGCTACAATAAACTTTGTAATATAACCCGTAAGTTGATGAAAACACAATGCTATGCACTTTCTGCCTCAGATGCAGCCATTCTAATGGCAAAACGCATATGTTCGACTTTCGCTACAGAAACCTCTTAACTCCATTTGAGCTTGATTTTGGTAGAATGTTAATAATAATGACACATGCAGGTGTCTGACCATATATAAAGCCACAATGTCAACTTTTACACCATATAGTGTTTAATTATAAATAAAAAAAGTCCTGAATTTCCTGAAAAGTTGGGGTTTTGGACAAGGTTTTCTGCCTGACAGTAGCGATTTGTTTAACTTCACATATTTATTTTCTGTGATTTATCACATACATGAAAGACAGAAATTAACTTTCCCATTAAGGGCCAATATTTGCTCTCTTAAATTGAATTCCAGGGTCTTTTTTTTTCTAACCATATTGAATGTATGCATCATCTTGGTGACATGAATGCATTTGCAATGCAATAACAACTGCATAAATAATGTTATGAGATTGTTTTAAATATAATTTTTTAATATAGAAATATTAAATTATGTAAAAAATGATACTTTAAAAAAAAAAGCAGTTGATCTACTTGGAATTGGTCGTCCAAGCAGAACCATCCCCCCCCCCCCCCCCCCCCCCCCACTGTTGCCATATAAAGATTGCAGAAGACTAATCTAAATGCAATTGATACCAAACTAATCAACTAAATAAGTTTAAAGTTAAAGTTTAAAAAATGATTGTGTATTTTTGTGCTTTTCATCAAACAATTTTTTATTTTTTTGAAAATCCACAGGAAACATGTTCTCATACAAACTATAAATGCTACATTTTATATTTGCGTCCAGTTGGGTTAAAAAATAATTGCTGTCAGGTCACACTCGGATCTCATTTTATCGAGTCTGTCTCGGGTCGGGGTTTTCTTAAAAAAAAAAAAAATGTATGCATGTTGTTTGGGTAAGTGGTTTGGGTACAGACCAAATCACAATCCAATTTCACTGTCTGGAAAACGACAGCATGAACATTCTGCACAATACATCCTTGGAATATACACTCACCGGCCACTTTATTAGGTACCCCATGCTAGTAACGGGTTGGACCCCCTTTTGCCTTCAGAACTGCCTCAATTCTTCGTGGCATAGATTCAACAAGGTGCTGGAAGCATTCCTCAGGGAGTTTGGTCCATATTGACATGATGGCATCACACAGTTGCCGCAGATTTGTCGGCTGCACATCCATGATGCGAATCTCCCGTTCCACCACATCCCAAAGATGCTCTATTGGGTTGAGATCTGGTGACTGTGGAGGCCATTTTAGTACAGTGAACTCATTGTCATGTTCAAGAAACCAATTTGAAATGATTAGAGCTTTGTGACATGGTGGAAGTAGCCATCAGAGGATGGGTACATGGTGGCCATAAAGGGATGGACATGGTCAGAAACAATGCTCAGGTAGGCCGTGGCATTTAAACGATGCCCAATTGGCACTAAGGGGCCTAAAGTGTGCCAGGAAAACATCCCCCACACCATTACACCACCACCACCAGCCTGCACAGTGGTAACAAGGCATGATGGTTCCATGTTCTCATTCTGTTTACGCCAAATTCTGACTCTAACATCTGAATGTCTCAACAGAAATCGAGACTCATCAGACCAGGCAACATTTTTCCAGTCTTCAACTGTTCAATTTTGGTGAGCTCTTGCAAATTGTAGCCTCTTTTTCCTATTTGTAGTGGAGATGAGTGGTACCCGGTGGAGTCTTCTGCTGTTGTAGCCCATCCGCCTCAAGGTTGTGCGTGTTGTGGCTTCACAAATGCTTTGCTGCATACCTCGGTTGTAACGAGTGGTTATTTCAGTCACTGTTGCCCTTGTATCAGCTCGAACCAGTCTGGCCATTCTCCTCTGACCTCTGGCATCAACAAGGCATTTCCGCCCACAGAACTGCCGCTCACTGGATGTTTTTTCTTTTTCGGACCATTCTCTGTAAACCCTAGAGATGGTTGTGCGTGAAAATCCCAGTAGATTAGCAGTTTCTGAAATACTCAGACCAGCCCTTCTGGCACCAACAATCATGCCACGTTCAAAGTCACTCAAATCACCTTTCTTCCCCATACTGATGCTCGGTTTGAACTGCAGGAGATTGTCTTGACCATGTCTACATGCCTAAATGCACTGAGTTGCCGCCATGTGATTGGCTGCTTAGAAATTAAGTGTTAACGAGCAGTTGGACAGGTGTACCTAATAAAGTGGCCGGTGAGTGTATGTTCCATGGAAGAAAGTTTAGAATGACATCAGGCTGAGTAAATGATGACAGAATGTTAATTTGTTTGGTGAATTATTCATTTAAACATGTATTTTAGCAATTAAAAGGGCAGAACAGAATCTGAGGGTTAAAGAAAGGTAGTATCATGTGAGAGAAATTCCTTCCTCTCTCTGTTTTTCCCACCAACCATTACTTAACGCATGAAAAAATGTTCCCTCACCAAAAGCCCCCCTCTCCCCTCCTCTCTTTTCCCAGACTTTCTCAATCAGGAGTCTGCTGTTCTCTCAGTTAGCTCTGGGTGGATTCTGGCAGTGTGAGGATTATCCTTATATGAGAGTACAGGGAAAAGATAGAGAGAGAATAGGGAGGTTAAGGATTTTAAAAGCTGCTTCTGGTGTGCCTTGAGCAACGTCTCCAGTGGCTTTGACTTCTAATGCCAGAAAATTACCTTCAGAAACAGCCGACTACATCAAATAAAATATGCTCTATATGAGAGCGCCAGCTCCCATGAAACCCTCACTAGCTATTATATCAGTGTGTGTGTGTGTGGATCTGAATTTGCACTTCAGGAATGCATGTTCCATGTGAGGAATCACATGCTGTTCCAGAACCTCCGTTAGTTTAATCGTAACAATGGGGTAATGGCACAGGGCAGGGGACATAAGCAATCTGATCTGAGGTCAGCACCCTGTTATACTCGCTAGTATAATTTTTTGCCCACAACAACAAAAGAACAAACCTTCAAGGTCATTAATACTTCATACCAGCTATGAAATGAAGTATTTCATTTAAAAATATTTGTACCCGAGGTTACATTGTATTTTGATGGTCCACTTTAGACATTCTACTAACTACAAGTAACTTTGCAACTACATGTCAACTAACTCTCATTAGACTGTTAGGGTTAAGAGGCGGTCACTCTACACTTTTCGTTCCATTGACTTCCATTCATTCAAATGCGTCAGACCACAAACGCAAGCTCAAGTTTCGCATTTCTCTGCGTTCCAAAGTTTACGTTTGGTAAAGACGCTGCAGAGCGTGTCGTCATATCACGACCGTTGCAGTGTCTGGAGACATTTTGCATGCTCAAAGTCTAGAGTGATCACAGCTTTAGGAATTAGTTCAGATTAGTAGAATAAGTTGACATGTAGTTGTAAAGTTACTTATAGTCAGTAGAATGTCTGTTGGGGAGCATCACAATAAAGTGTTAGCAGATGTTAAACAGACATTTTACTTGCACTCTAAAAAGAGTTAGTTGACATGTAGTTGCAAAGTTACTTATAGTTAGTAGAATATCTAAAGTGGAGCATCGAAAGAAAGTGTTACAGAAAAAAATAATTTAGTTAACAAAATAATAGTTTCGGTAACGCTTTATTTCCATGGTCCAACCTGAACTAACCTGTCGTCTCTAACTGAGATCCCAAACTTGGATTCTCTGCTTGATAAATATTGCTCTAATGATTATTTGCATCATATGATAGTTGTACTTTTTAAATATGTTTTCCCTTAAAGGGATACTCCACTTTTTTTTGGAAATAGGCTCATTTTACAACTCCCCCAGAGTTAAACTGTTGAGTTCTACCGTTTTTTAATCCATTCTGCCGGTCTCCGGTTCTGGCGGTACCACTTTTAGCATAGCTTAGCATACATCATTGAAGTGGACAAGACCATTACCATTAGCAAAAAAAAAATGACCAAAGTGTTTCGATATTTTTCCTATTTAAAACTTGACTCTTCTGTAGTTACATCGTGCACTAAGACCGACGGAAAATGTAATGTTGCGATTTTCTAGGCTGATATGGCTAGGAACTATACTCTCATTCCTGCGTAGTAATAAAAAAACTTTACTGCCGTACCATGAGAGCAGCAGGCGCAGGTACTTAGTCCCGGTCACGTTGGAAGTTACCGAGCTGGGGACTAT